TGTCATTACCCCTTGGGGGTGGCATTCTTGGAGGTGCACTCAGCTTCGCGGGACCAGCGGACGGCTTCTTTGGTGGAGCGGTGCTTCATCCTACACATTGATGGCGACGGATCTCGATGGCGTGGCGCAGTGCAGATTCGGAGTTCGATGTGCGAGGATGGACTCGCGCAGGGGGACGAAGCTGTCTGGCCTCATGGTGGCGTCGATGGCAGAGAGACCTGGCACGGTAGATGCAACAGTACAGCTCTGAAGATGGATTGGTGGCAGGTGGCTGCAGCGGCCTCATACCCGGCAGACGTCCTGGTTGAGGAGTGCGCCGGACTGGTAGGTACCCCATACCCGGCAGGCGTCCTAGTTGGGACCTCAGGTCTTAGATGTTTATGTTTGGCTGCGATGTCTGTTTGGTATTAGGCCCAGGCTATCAGCGCCCCTTCATCAATTGGATAGGTGTAGCGATAGTTGTTGCTTAGACGGTGGCTTTAGTCTTACTGTTGTATGACGTTGTAAGGTATTGTGAGAATAATTAATAAAGTGGCCGCATGCATCGCCCAGATGCAGAGGCCGGGGGTCATCCTCCTTTTCTAAAAAAAATCCTCAAAGTCCATGAACTTGTCTTTTTTGCACAGATCGCTTTTCAAGGTATCTCATCCTGAAATTTTACATCCTTGTTTACTTGTACAATTATTTTCAGATTTTTTTGAAACTGAGAAGTTCAACTTTTGAATTTTTTCCAAAATTTTCGGCCTCCATGGAGGCTGAGCTCCAAAACGCCCCACTCATTGTATTGTTATGTGGGTTATAGAAGAGATGGAAGATTTTGTCAAATATTATCAACAAACATGAACAATAGAAACTGAACTTGCTTGGAAATGGATACCTAATGGAGCTCCATGGGTGTGCATTATGAAAAGAAAATATGAAAGCAAATGATGATAATGAAGTCCAATAATGATTTGTTCAAGAAAAACAAAATATGAAAGAAATGATGCCAATGAAGTCCTGATTCTGAAAAGAAATGAAGCCCGATAAGAACCTGTTCAAGCAAAACCCAATATGAAAGCAAGTGACGCTAATGAGAAAGGATATTTGCAATATGATCATCTTTGCATGACTCTGGCTACACTGTTGCAGGCAAGCAACTCTTTTTTGAAGTATTTCTGAAGATTAAGTATTTACATGTTGATGATCTCAATATGTTTTTTCTTATTCTCCATTTCAAGTTTGTCTCAACTAATGTACAGATGACAACTGACATAGTTTACAAAATGGGTGTGTCTAGAACTCAGTCGACTGAGACTTAACGAAGTCTCAGTCGAGTGGCGTCAACGTGTTTTTTTTGCTACAAGCAGCACGGCTAGATGTCACAAATGGCAACGAAAAATGTTGCAATGGTATTGCTAGCAACAACAACAAATGCTACAACTGTTCTAACTAAAATGCTACAACCGTCAATGAAGGATGTTGCAACCGGTGAGATGACGTGCTACAACCGAGGAGGGATGACATGCTTCAACCAACAAAACGAATGTTGCAGCCGGTATGAAAAAATGTTGCGTACGGTCAAAAAATTGTTGCATGGTCGACTGAGACTTCGTTAAATCTCAGTCGACTGATTTTTAGCAGGCCCGTTATAAAATTGTATTTCACAACTGACTTTCTCTCTTTTTTTTACTCTGTGCTATCTGAAAATAATTGGATAAAAGAAACACACAAGTTGCTCTATTGGTCCAACCAAATCAATTATATATGCTTCCACTCCAAAGGTATTGCTAATTAAGTCATTTTGGTCACCTATATGCTAGTTTTTATATGAAATGGAATTAAACCCTAGCAACTCAGTTTATTGGCCGATCTGTTTATTTGCCATGTGCACATGCTGGTAACCAGCTCATATGTGCATACAGTTCAAAACAGGGTGCTACTTGGGATCTTGAAACTAGTTACACCGTGGCATGGTTTAAGTCAGTTATGAAGCTGGTCCGAGGGATTAGGACTGAACCAGAACATATGGCTCTAAAATGTTTAACCTAGAACCTGAGACACTAGCATGGTGATTTTGACATTTTACACAACCTGAAGCTAGTTTTCTAGCTTCTGTTCTATTCTGGCAACCTGAACTCTAGAGCTACAGATATTTGGTAAACGACCATGCGTACAACAGGATGACAACCTGAACTCTAGAGTTACTGAATTTTTTAGAGTGACTGAGGTTCGGTTAATCGGTTTAACCAGTACTGCTTGTACAACAGGATGAGTCTTCACTGTATTATGTTTCCAGAGATGAGCAGATGAACTTGTACGGTTATCACTCCGTGATCTTGGCGCCACATAAACCATTAGAGGAAGATGCTTGTGCAGCTATGATGCACTCGTACGACACCTGAACTTCTGAACTTCACACAGGTGAAGGGTTGGCATTTGCTAGTAGAGTACTTGGCATGTTAAAAAGGGCCTGAACCGTATGGTTCAGTCCATTCCCCTCCATTACTCGATAAAATGATGCAAATCTGATCATTTGAGTGAGAATAGTCGAAGCTGAATACAGACTGAATATTACCCAGCGTAGACGAAACTGAATACAGACTGAGAGTACGCTTGGTCTCAGCACATTTGAGATCATCGGATTCGGATGTATAACCATGTACCTTCCCCTACATTACTGGATAAAAGGAATTAAATTTTATCTTTGACATGCCTCTCTTAATTGGTCAGCAAATCAAGATGTTAGGCGTCTGAAGGGCACAAGCATTTTCAGTATGCCTAAACTGATAGTAGCAGATATGTGGTTACCTCACATAAGCAAGTCATACATGTAAGTCATAAGCTACACTTTTGCAGTAATCTATGCATTGTAGCGCTGCCACATCATTAATTAGTTCATTTACTCATAAGTTTTTCCTTACATTCATTTTTTTTACAATATATATGTGTTAGGCGACAGTACTACACCTATGTAGTTCATCATTCATATTTTATTGTTAGAAATGACAATTTTATAACTGCAATTCAAAAGTTCTTTCCCCTTTTTATACTCTTTATATTTTATATTGTCTTTTAAGCTTAAACCCTCTGATGTTCATTCACCTTGCTTTTTTCTGTTAACAATGCTTTTCATTAGCAACGCGCGGGCATGCGTACGGAGCACAGAATAAAGCGCAGCTTCGTCCTTGCCTACGGCACCTCGCACGGGTGAGCCAAAGTTCATCCCGTCCTCCTCCACTCTGCGCTGCACGACATGCCAGTCGGCAGCCGTGGGTTAAGAATCGAGGAAGCCCCCTCGCAAAAAAACAAAAAAAAACGAGGAACCCGCACATCCTTTCTCTGCATTCCACGATAGCACGCACGGAAGCTTCCCTGCTTCTTCTCAGAATTCGGGAATGAGTGCTCATGCATGGCGACGGATGGATATCTCTCTCCGTCCCTCGTATCTCGATCCTCCATCTGTCGATTAACAGTGCATGTCGACCTGACTTTGACTGCCGAGCTGCAGAAGAACTTTCTAGAACGTACGCAATGAGCGAAAAGGACCGGGGGAGAAAAGAGAAGAGAAAACACGTGGTCTCTCCGCGCGGACCGGATGACACGTGCCCACACGGCGCAGTTCCACGCCTCTCTTTTTTTGACCAAGACGCCGGCCATTCCTTATCGTGACAGTGACAGGCTAAGCTATAGGGGGAATCTTGGCAGCTTGATGATTAGCCGCTGCCATGGTCCGGGCGGCGGAGATATTTTTCAGAAAGAGCCAAACCGGTTCTTGTTGTCGCGTCAAAGGAAAGAATCAGAGGTTGCCACACACACAAATAAAATAGAGAGGAAAAGAATCGGTTCTCCTTCACGTCCATGGCAACTATCGCCTTCTCTGATTTCTGATCCTGTCTTGGAACAGATTACGATGCGCACTATGGACGTGCGCGCGAATTGGCTGCTCTACCTCTACGAGATCATCTGTGTCGTCAGGCTGGGCTCAAAAGCGAAGCAAACCCTGGTGATGCTCGCCACGCAAGCGATCGACACGCCGCGCATCTGCAGCGGCCTCGCCGTTGGTGTAAACGACGGGCCGCTCCTTCCCGTCGTCCCGTGCAGTCATGTCTCCTAACAAATCCACGACGACGACGACGACGACGACATGGCGATAGGACGTGGCACCACCTCCTCTCCCGTCGTCTCACACCCACCACCAACGGGGCCCCGGCCCCCGGTTTCGCAGCCACCAGCCGAGGGCGACGCGACCCACAGATCCCAGACCCCGCCGCGCGGACGGCCTCCACGTCGCCCCCGGACCGCGACGCGGCAGCTAGCCAGAGAGCGTACGGAGCACCCAAGCTAGTGCCTACCGTGATCGCTCACGGTCGCGATCACGGCCACGTAGGCCCGGCACAGTGAACAAGTGGTTTGGACGCGTACGGCCGAATTTTCACCACCTCGTATTGTAAAAAGGTCGTCGCGGCGCCGCCGATGCTGCGTGTGACAAACGAGGCTTGACGACTTGGCTTGCACCGCACGCGTGGTCGGTAGTTCGCGGTAAAGAAAGAAACAAAGAAACAAAGGAGTCCCGGTAGGATAGGTACCGCCACCGCCGCTGTACGCGCTCCCGCCGCAAAGCTCCAGCCGGTAGTCGGTATTCGCCCGCTCCTCCCCGCCGCAAAAACAGGGGCGCGGGTCGCGTCCGCCATGCCCTGGCATGGCATGGCGGCCCTATCCGTATGGGAGCAAAACCCATCGGAAAAGACGCGCAAACAACTCCGTCCGCGCCACTCCGAAAGGTTAGGCGTCGGGAGCCTTCCCGACCCCCGCTGGCCCCACCTGTCAGCCCCGCCTCCGCTCACGCGCAACCGAATCCTTAACGGCATCAACAACCCAAAACCGCGTCCTCCCGCCCTCCCTCCTATAAGTACGCCCCGCCTCCAACCTCCAGATCCTCAACCCGCCTGTTAACCTCACAACATCATCCAATCCAGACCTCCCACTCGATCGCGCAGCGACAGCACCCTCTCCCGTCCATGGGCAAGATGCGCGCGCTCTTCTCCCGCAGCCGCAGCGGCGGCCGCGCCAGCCGCTCCTCCTCCACCAAGTCATCGTCGACGCCGCCGTCGCCGGCGCGGTCGCCCTCTGTGCGGGAGGACGAGATGGAGCGCGTGTTCCGCAAGTTCGACGCCAACGGCGACGGCAGGATCTCGCGGGCCGAGCTGGCGGCGCTGTTCGAGAGCGTGGGCCACGCGGTCACGGACGACGAGGTGTCGCGCATGATGGAGGAGGCCGACTCGGACGGCGACGGCTACATCAGCCTCGCCGAGTTCGCCGCCATCAACGCCGCGCCCGACGCCGCCGTCGAGGAGGACCTCCGGCACGCCTTCCGCGTCTTCGACGCCGACGGCAACGGCGTCATCTCCCCCGCCGAGCTCGCGCGCGTGCTGCGCGGCCTCGGCGAGGCCGCCACCGTCGCGCAGTGCCGCCGCATGATCGAGGGCGTCGACCGCAACGTCGACGGCCTCGTCTCCTTCGACGAGTTCAAGCTCATGATGGCCAACGGCAAAGGCTTCGGCCTCGCCCAGGCCAACGTCCGCGCCTGAACCAACCTCAAGACGTGCACTCGGCTACCGGTCGCTTGTTTCCTTCATTCTTTTGCGAGACCCTGTAAATACCACCGCCAAATACTTGCTACGTGCTCTATTAGCTAGTCGCAGATCACACGAACATTATCGGTGTGCCATTATTTTGCTGTGTATATATAATGTATCGGAACTGTCGGATCGACACTGAAGAATAATCCTCCATGTCGATTTTTATGTCAGCTTGTGTATTTGGCGTCAGATTTTCACTTCTTCTCATTCATCAGATAATGTCCACGAGTCTCGTAGAGTCGTAGTATAATGCTTCCGCTTTCTGCAGTTTTATGTCAAAATTCTACTCCCGGCCGGATGACTTTGTGAAGTTATGAAGAGGGAGCGAGCTTCATGTGAGATATACGAACCTGTAAACGGAAGGGACATGTCGATGTGACCCAGGCTGGCTCGCTGCCGTTGTTTTCGTCAAGAGAATTATTCTGCCCGAGTAGCGTGAACAACAAAACCTGAAGTTGCAGCCCGAACTTGCAATACCTCTGATGAAATTGACGGTTGAGCTAAAGCTGCAGTTCTAAAAACAATGACACGACGCCAAGAATCTAGATTCCGTTAATTTTATACTCGTAGCAATGTAGCATAAGGTTTTACCTGTTTATTGAACAGGTGGAGTTTACTGTTGGATATGAGTATTGATTGACGATGACTTGGTACAATTTTTTACTGTCAAAAATAGGCGCCCTGGTGCAATTGCATAGGTTGTATACTTGTAGTACTAGTACCCCCGACAATTAATGGTTCAATGGCCCTGAACTTTCGAAGCTTACCGGTATGGATAGACGGTTTGACACTGATAGTGCGTCAGAAACAAATTGATGGAGTACCCATGATACCGCGTCCGAAGAAAAGGGAAATGGAGTAGTACCATGATCATCTGTAGAACATGCAGATGACGCTACCTAAGAGGATATATCAGACCACGCGTAAGGACAGACAGCCCACGACCTCCGCATCTTCACTGAGATCACGCAGCCGCCGGGACAGATAACCCACGAGTCACCTAGCCCCTCATCTTCAGCAACATTCCAGTTAGAACATGCCTTCATCAGAAAGGTCCAGCTCTGACAAGATCATCTACTAGCATGCAGTGTATCATTCCACAGGCAATTAGTAGAACAGGCAAGTGGCGGCTCGCAAGAACATATTTTTTTTTCGAAACGGCGCGCAAGAACATATGGCCCAAGTGGCAATTACTTGGACAAGAAACAAGTTATAAACTCCACGTTTGGCCGCCATGCCTCATACTGGATTCAGTCACGGGAGCCGATGAAGGAAACATAGCGAAAACGTTGTGCATGCATGGGCACCAAACAGAGCTGGGACTGAGAACAGGAACCACCGGCGAAATTGGCATAACACTATACTAGTACTACCCCCGTCCCTTTGCAATTGCTCGATCATTTCACTGGACTAGTATAGTTGTTCTAGGTGCGACTTCCCGGTTTCCATAGTTGGTGGGCGTCCCTCCGCGGCAGGCTGGAAATTTACAAAAGTTTGCAAAAGGATATGGTCAAGCAGCTGGTACGTACTACGTGCCTTCAGTCATTCATTATATCTCAGCTAGCCTCAGATTCAAGTAAGTTTCCTACCCAGCGGAGGCACAAGAGTTTTGTTCCTTCCTCTCGTTTTTGGGAACCTGAGTCCGAAAGCCCTGCACAAGGGCTGGTATCTTACTGAAAGAAAGAAGTTTGTGACGTGACATTCGGTTAGCTTAGCTGGCTGATCGATGGCTTTCGCGCTGCAGGAAATGTCAAGGCAACTTCTTGCTCATCTGGCCAGCTGCTTTCCTTGTTTTGGCAGTTCGTTCGGCAGACGCCTCGATCTGCCGGCCAAACCGAACACCTACGGCCGGTTGGGCTCCGCTCGTGGCAGGAATCGGCGCAGAGTTGGTGGATGTCAACGTTTGGTTGCCCTGCGAGTTTTGCGAGTGGCGAAGTTGCCGGGGCGCCTTACCGTGAACGGCAATGCGCAGCGTACGTTCTTGGGGTTTCTGCGTCTAGAAAGGTCCGTATATGCAGATGGGCAAACACCAAATAGCGCGTTTGGCTGCCGTGCAAATGGGGCTGCCACGGCACCTGCCTTGTATGGTTTCTCCTTCGGATCTCTCCTTCAGAGGCGAAGCTGTGCTGCCCTCGGTGCGGGTAGTGAGTTCTGGCATGGATCTTCATTTGTTCCTGCACGGCTTCTGCGGTGAGGGTTGAGTCGACGTTCGTCTACAGCAGGGCCGTCTCCAGAAATTTGGGGGCCCGGGACGAATATCAAAATAGGGGCCTAACTTTTTTGTAATAAATCATATAATTAAAGAACTAACGTAAGCAAAGCATAGTCTCACTTAATTATATAACTTCAAATATGACTTATTTGGTACAATATCTAGGAAATATATCAAATACTAATGGTATAAAATAGTAAGCAATGGTACTGCCTTTGAAGCACCGGAATCATACTTCCTTCCGGGATGCACGAGTCTTTCTGTTTAATAAATTAAAACTTAATCTGAATCAATTCAAACTATATGAACTATAGCCCCTTTATATAGCTAAGAAAATGTAAAAAGACTTCACCTAGATGTAAGATTTTGAAATTTTCATTTAACAAAAAAGTAGCCTACACTAGCAAAATAAATTAGGGCTTTCTCTACAAGGACTTACGTTTGGCAGGATGATGCGCCGTGGGGCGTGGCCGCCTGGCCGATCGGCTGCTGCGTACGCACGTCCTAGTTTGACCTTGTGTCTTCCTTCTGCCATCGTGGCCTTGCTCGATACTATCGGTCGGCCAGGCACCACTGGTAGAAAAAGAGGCTTCCGTCCAGCCCCATTAGTCGCGAAACTGTAGGAACCGCGACTAATGAAGTCTTTAGTCGCGGTTCGGCAGACGAACCGCGACCAAAGGCTTGGGCCAGGGCGCTCGGTGGCCAGCTGGTGCACGTGAGAGGCTTTAGTCGCGGTTGGCCAGGCCAACCGCGACTAAAGGAGGCCTTTAGTCGCGGTTGGCCTGGCCAACCGCGACTAAAGCTCCTCCCCTATATATACCAGTTCAGCGCACTCACTTAGCCATTTGGTGCCACTTCTCTTCACAAGGGGGTGTAGGTTTGCTTTTGGTTCCTCTTATGCACACAAGGTGTTTGATGAAATGCCCAACAGCGTGAAACAAACATGATATGAAGTGTTGGAGCCACACTTGAGGTTCCTCCTCGATCGCGGTTAGCAACTTGAACCTTTCATGCATGTGTGTCATTGATAAAATATGCATGTGTGTTGTTCATTGTTTAATTTCTATTGTTTATAGCTAGTTACTTTAACAAATGCATGATGGTTAATTATATATTTTATATTATAATAATGCAGATGAATCGGCAATGGATGTACGGTAACCGACTCTCCCGCGAGTTCACTACGGGTTTGAAAGATTTCCTCGTAGTGGCTAATGCGAACAAGCAGAAG